TGTTGTTTGGGGCACAGAAAAAAGTTTCCACCCTCAAGGAGATGAAAAGACTAGAATTTGCTGGAGATTTGGAGAATGGGGGAGGGGGAAAGTATCATCTTACAGAAAGGAGACATACTTAAGGTATTGGAATATCCATTTTTGAGAACCTGCAAGGACTAGAGTAAGACCTTCATCCCTCCGTGCCAAAAAGGAGGAGAAGGGGGAGGGGGAAAGATAGACCCTGCCTTGTCTGCTCGTTCTTCTACCTCTGACTCCCTCATGGCTTGTGTGAAGAATGAAAACAAGTCCCTGATTCTCCAAAGTTGACAACAGGAAGGTCTCCAGGCAGGAGGGGCAAGGAGACCAAGCAACACGCCATGGTCCCTTGGGTTTCACGTAGCTTGGCTGCTCCTCTCTCTCACACCATTGCTGCTGCCACCACACTGGCCTACTCAGAAAGAAAGTGCCCTTCTCTTCCCTTAGTAGGGAGGATGAAGGTTGGAAAGTCCAATGTAAATGCATATTAAGGGACGAGACAGGGGATGTAAGCAAAGGAATGTGCAACACTGAAACAGACTGTCTCAGATGGTACAGGATGCTCAGTTCCCCTAGACCTGTCACATCCTTCTCAGAGTCCTGAAATAGCTTGATGGAGTCTCACAGGATCAGCACAATTTCACAGGTCCCTTGCTTGGGTTTCTTCATTCCCACTCCTTGCCTGTCTACATGTGGAACGTAAGCACCCCCTTCCCAAAAACAAACTCTAAGTCATCTTGACCTTTTGGGATCAATATTGAGGGAAAAAGGCCTCACTATGCTGCTTACTTCACAATCTCTTGCTGTCTGGTCAGAAGGCTAGAAAAGGTTTCTCCCCCAGGTGACAGGAGACAAGAAAAACCTCAACCTTATAAGGAAGTCCCACCCCATGCACCTAGAGCCAGAAGAATAATATTACACTCTTAAAGCTCTAGCATCACTTCCATACCATGAGGAGGGGCTGCAGAGGCCACCGGTCTCAAATTCACTGTGGAACTCCATATCTGCCATTTGTGGAAACTGGCTTTGCTGGCACCAGGATGGTAGAGTGTGGCAGGCTGAATCCACTTTGTACTGAGGAAAATAGTAAACTTAACGGTCCATTAAGTTACTATATATTCTTATTTATGACACTTCAATAAAAATATCCTTAATTAGAGCCAGCACAATGAGCCTGCCCTTTCAACAAGAGCAACCAAGGCAACAGTGAGGACCCCCATCCATTCCCAAGATTGGAGCCAGAGTCCAATTAGCCTGGGTCTAAATCCAAGAGAATGCTCTGGGGCTCAGTGTCATCAGGTGGTTAAGAGCCAGAATTTTAAGTCAAAGACCCCACACCACCACACCCTTCACTTCTTAGCTATGTAATTCTGCACAGGTTGCTTAACTTCTCCGTGCCTCAGTTTTCTCATATGCAGTATGGGAACAATAATATCTTCTTCATAGGAAATAAAGATTAAACATGATAAAGAGCTTAGTGCAGTGCCTGGCATGTAGTATGTGCTTGATAAACGGTAGGTAATGTTGTGGGGAGTGGTGCAAAACCAGGCCATTCCAAGGACCAGAAAAAGGTTATGTAGGATTTGATAGGACATCAAGGAAAAAAGGACAGGAGCAAAGAGATCTTCCTGTGTCTTTAAGGACATTGCTGCTTCTCTCTCCTCCCTATGAAAGCCATTGCTGTCTCTTTGGTGGGGCAATAGGAAACTGAGTCAGCCATTTTCTCCCACCCTCTCCATGCCAAGATGTGTTAGGTCCATGGAACTGAGTGAGAAGGGAAGGCTGCACCTGTCTGTCCTTCCCGTGCCATCCCCAGAGCAGAGAGAGAGACAGGTCCCATGGGACTCTGAGGAAGTGCCAAGGCTGGGGTATCCAAACCGTGGGGCTTCGTGGAATACTCTCCTCAAGGTGATGGGGGAGGATAAAGATTTATCTCCATTTAGCACCGTGAGGATAAACCTGAAACTTCCCCAGCTCTTCCCTAACGGGTAGGACCCTAGTGGGGCCAGATGTAACTTCAGATTGCAGAGTTTTTGTAAGTTTATAGGTTTTAAAAGGTCAGGCTCTTTGGTGGTAAAAGTTTTATAGACCAGTAAAAATTTACTGCAGAAAATGGGAAACACAGCTGTAATGGAAAAGGCTGGAGCCAGGATTCCGGAGGATCTCGGCTCCGTCCACAACTACGTGTGGGAGTTGAGGCATGTCACGAAGGCTCTGTGTTGTAACGTGGAAAATAGGAACAAGAAAAGTGATAGGACGGATAAGTGGAAAGCTACAGACACATGTGTGAGTACAGTCCTTCTCTCTGGGGTGCTGGGAGCAACGAGACACAAGGAGAGGCCCAGGCCGGCGGGTCCTGCAGTCTTGAGCTTTTATTACCCATGCTGGATCGCTGCCATCTTCGTGTCCGCCTCCATTCCCTGGGAGGAGCCTGACCGTCTGCAGCCAGAGCTCAGGAATCAAATTAGCCCGGCTTCTACTTTTGCCTGATCCCCACCGGCCAAGGAGAGTTCATCAAGGCCTTGAACTAATTCTTATCTTGTTTGAAAGGGGCAAAAGTGACTCCACAGTTTCATCGGAGGCAATTTACACCCCGCCACTGGCCACAGCTCCAACTCTCCCCTGTCTATTGTGCCATCAAATCCATTAATAGGAAATTTCTTCAGGGGAAACTTGATTGCTACTCCATCAGAGAGGCGCGCAGGCAATACGTCTCCATCTAAGGCCATGGCCTGCCCAGCTCGCTCTAATCCTGTTACCTAAGAAGCTAATTCTCTAATGTGCACACTGTGCCAAAGACATCCTCTTCCTTCCCTAACACAATTGGGCAGCCCCAGAGGGTGCCAGGATTCAGTGCAGAAATGAAACGTTGGGGGTCGTGGGAGAGGGGGTCCGGATTTTCTCACTGCCCCCTGATGGGTCTTAGCACAGACCCATGGCTGGCCCTGCACTGTGCAGTACAGAGAGCCCGCTTTCCAGAGTCCCATGGTGGGGAAGGGTGAGCCACGTTCAGCCCCTCCTACTGCTTTTGCCTGCTCCTTCCTCCTCCTTTTTCTTCTCTTCTTTCTTCCCTACATTTCCCGTTTTTTTCTCCCCTCTCTCCTTTCCCCTCCTATCTTCGTCTTACTCCTCAGTTTCCTACCAATTTTCCTTCTATTCCAATCTTCCTTTTTTCCTTCCTTTTATTTGTCACTTCTCTCCCTTCTCCTCTCACAGACCCTCCCTTTCCTATAGTTTTACCTTCTGTTTTCTTCTTCTTCTTGCCTCTTTTCCTCCTGCCTTGGTACTGCCCCTTTTAGAACAAGTTCAGTGTCTGATGCCTCTTCCTACCCTTTGTCTCTACACAGCTCGGCTCTGTAGAAGGAATGGGCCCCAGGACAGACACACTGGCCTTGGCTTGGAGGTGTCCAAGAGGTGGGGTGTGCCTCATGGATATACCCAGGGATCACTACGGGGCAGTGGTTAGGGTGTGGTGGGGGGAGTAGTTAAGTGTCTATTTGTTCTTTGATGATAAAAAAAAACTGTAACGAAACCACAAGTGGGTTTGTTACTAGCAAAGGTCAAACTTTGGCTAATGGCCTCACCAAGAGACTCCATCAATGAAAGGTGTAACTGCTATATGCAGATTTTATCATGCACATGAATAAAAGGAAAAATCCAAACAGAACCAAAAAGAGCTCCACCCTGACCAAGGTGGGGTTTTTAAAAAATTTAACTAAAATTCAGAAAATTCTTCCTTCCTACAGGGTCCTCAGAATATTCCACACTTAAATTCAACTGGAAAAGGGATCAAAAGAAGCGAAAATGTGTTGTGGTTGAAGCTTGGTACGGGTGTGTCTTGCCTTCAGGACACTCGAGGTAGAAAAGTCCACCTACTCAAATGGTGAAGTGGGGGGTGGGATGTCCCCAACTATAAATCCACAGCAACTCTTTTCTCAGACAATTTGGTGGTGCACAGTTGGGTATATAGGAGGGATAGATACTTGCCTATTTAACTTACAAAAAAAAAAAAGAAAGAAAAAAGAAACACTTCTTTCAAGAAAATCACGTTTAAAAGGAAGGTGTTGAGACTGCTCATGTAATGATATTAAGCAAAAAAGGGGAGCAGGATACAAATTTATATGTATAGTATATCTACTTCTTTGTATAAATATCATAGAAGAAAATTATAGAACATACACCAAAATATGAACAGTGGCTATCTCTGAGCTATAAATAAGCCTATGGAGGATTTTAATTTTTCTTCATTTTTTTCCCCTACAGTGCATGTATTGCTACACACATATATATATATCCAGTAAAATATATATATGTATATATATAATTATAGTATATAAAAGAATTGTATAGTATATATATATATTACTCTTTAAATATGAATATTTAGATGAAGACAAAAGGACAGACATGTGGTGACCCCAAGTCCCCTTCTGTCTGCAGAGATGCCCAGTTACCTGACTAGTTAGGGGCACTGTGTTACCCTGTGAAGCAAGAAAATGGCCCTCCTGCTCCTGCCTCACCCCACCCAGCCTCAGTTCAATGCCAAAAAATATACTTGCCGTGGGACATAAATTAAGGCAGCTGCTCCCAGCAGACAGGCTGTACTCTTGCTCTACGGGCTCCTGCAGCCCCCTGTCCCCAAGTTACTCCTTGGGGAACTTGGCCAAGCCACCTGGAAGAAGGAGTGGACTGAGCTCCAGCCACATGACATCAACAGGGCGGGCTCCCCTCTCAGTGGTTCCCTCTCCTTCCCTCCCACCCTGAAACCTGATTCAGCTGAGGATTGATTGCAGAAAAAACTTGGCAGCTTCCCAGCCCGGGTGGCCCAAGCAGTATAAGGATACAGCCTCAGAAGGTACTGGGGAGCAGTCTGGAGAGGCAGGCTGGCTGGCACATGAGGCTGGCAGAGTGTGGACAGGCTGGCCCTTGGCGGGACTCACCCTGAACACCAGTCCTCTCTGAGGTACCCACGCCGTGGGAAGCTCGCCATGCTGCTGTGGGTCCCACACGCACTGCTTGCCTTGCTTCTGCCCACGCTCCTGACACAGGGAGAAGGTAAGAGGACAGTGTGTAGGACTTGATTGGCCATCTATAGAGGGGAGGTAGGGGATGCTTGATTCCTCCAAGGGTTGAAGGAAGTTGGGTTTGGGAATGGGGACGGCTGCAGGAAAGTCAGGGATCTTACCACGTGTGAGCATGAGAGCACTCTGAGGCACTGTGGTCCAGCTAGAAAGTTGGGGAAGTTGAGCGCCGGGTGAGAGCAGGACTTGCTGAGAGGAGAGCAGAGAAGCAGCCTGCTGTAGCGGAAATGCATAGACAGGTGCAGGAGATGGGGTCCTCTCCTCCTAGCCCTGCCCCTAAACTCATCAAAAAGGAAGGTGCAAGGGGTCGTTCAGCTCATTTGGTCCATCCCTTCTTGTTATGAGTGGGAATGCTGGGGTCCAGAGACGGGGAGTAATTCACTCAAGGTCACACAGCTCATTAGCAGCAGAGTGGAGACCAGAACTAATGTAGTCATCTTTCCTCCGCTTCACCGGTTTCGTTGCACAGGTTCTCTGGGTTTCCTAAAGTTCCCTTCCAGGGTTAAACTCCAATAGCACCAAACTTCTCTCTGCAATCCATCCTTTCTTGCCTCCTGTGGATACAGGGTGTTTTAGTCACAAAAGGATCCATTTCCTTTTGCTGCAGACAGTACTCATTCTCCATTTGGAAGGTTTTCTTCTTATCCACAGCTGAGTTGAAGCTGAGGCTGGGGTACAATTAAAATGGGCAGGGGGCTGGACAGATATGAAGGGCATATAGGAATGATGCTTTTCCTCTCCATGAGCTGTCATTGGAAAAACTCAGTGAGACAAGCAGACCCGGGGCCTCCTTGGCTGAAGAGAAGCTCTGTGCCTCCCAGAAATGGCCCTTTGCTCTGAAGCCTATGGACCCCAGTCTGGTTCTCTCCAAACTGGTCAGAGTCCCAAACAATAGGATTTGGGCTGTTGGCTGCTATAGTGAAGATACACAAGGCTCTGGGTTTGAATCTCAGTAGCTCCACTTGTGGGGTACAGTACTCATATTTGTGAGCCTCGGGGACCCTGTAAAATAGCTATCATGTCTACGGCCATACCTGATCCTGTCTGATCTCGGAAGCTAAGCAGGATTGGGCCTGATTAGTACTTGGATGGGAGACCACCTAGGAAGATCAGGTGCTGTAGGCATAAAAAAATAAAAAATTAGGGATTGTAAGCTGACAAGGTCCTTGCGATCTGTGAGGTCATCTCAGTAGCTCCACTTGTGGGGTACAGTACTCATATTTGTGAGCCTCGGGGACCCTGTAAAATAGCTATCATGTCTACGGCCATACCTGATCCTGTCTGATCTCGGAAGCTAAGCAGGATTGGGCCTGATTAGTACTTGGATGGGAGACCACCTAGGAAGATCAGGTGCTGTAGGCATAAAAAAATAAAAAATTAGGGATTGTAAGCTGACAAGGTCCTTGCGATCTGTGAGGTCAACCAAGGGTTGCCTCGCCTAAAAAAAAAAAGGCGCTATCATGACAGCCACACCAGTAGGCCATTATAAGATCAAAATGAGTAATATGTTAACCAATATCATTCCAAAGGAAACAATGACTACTCTCTTGTCATCCTTTCTGCTCTTCTCTGTCCCGAGAGAAGCTGGAAGTTTATCAGTGATAGGTGTGTGAGGGGCAGGAAGGAGATGCTATAGGACCAATTTGCTGTATAGATTGCACACATGATAGACAAGATGAGAGAAGAGGCAGTCCTTTTTGGAGAATTCCAGGCTTGCTGGCACCTGGTCTCACCCTGCCAGGCCCCTCAAGACCTTGTAGCCTATACTCTGGTCCTGTAGGGTGCTCCCTCTTCTCCAACCTAAGCCTTTCACCTTCGTATTTCTTGACACCTTTCAGGAAGTGCTTCTACTATTTCCCAGAGGGATATCTGAGGTGCACATGAAATCTCCACAGAATGGGGCTAAGGCCTAAGAGCTGGGTTTTCTTATCTCTTGTCCTTGCAGGCTTCTTGGGAACAATGTGGTTTCTCCTTGCTTCCTCCACACCTCGCCCTGACCCTCTTCCTAACCGCATAAAATTTGCCCACATAGCGACCCTATGAAGGAGACCAGGCAACCCACTGCCAGGAGTTTACGTGCATGAGGAGGATGGGGGAGGGGAGCTACTTGGGTGGATCTTGGTGGAGCGGGAGGAGATGTCAGTTTTTGCTGGATGTCTACCCTTCCTTCTTTGTCAGTTACAGCCTGGAGTCGAGGAAACAATGAGGAGCCATGTGGATGCTGAGGTCTGACCTTGGCTGAGGCAAACCCTCATGCAGATCGCTGGGCTTAGAAATTGTGCACTTAGGGCTACTTTTTTTGCACCGCTCTCGCCTTCCAGTATCACACACCCAGGGCCAAATCTTCGTTGACTCCCCAGAGCCCCTCAGCCAGGGCCCCTCAGGCTGACCTCCTCTGGGCAGGCATCAACTCTCAACCTTTCTCAGCCCTTGGCCTGCTTCAGAACTCACCTGTCTTGCATCACCTTTTCTTACAATACAGCTCCTTCTCTCATGTAAATGAATGTGTAGGTTACCCTTATGAGATTATATCTTTGAATTTTGGCCAGACTCTCTGATGACAAAATGCTCTGGGGACAGAAATTTCAATCTGTGGTGGTAACTGGGAATTTTGTGAGGTGGGAAAAATGAAGACACTTTCCTTTTAATAGCTTTCAAACCAGGGCAAGAGAACCAGTAAAAGACCCAGTTTCTGACTGCCGCTTTGAACTGTCCTCCCTCCCAGCCAGGCACAAGGGAGGTCTCCAGGCCCATAACCTCTCCGATCCTGCTCTGGGGAGGTTGTCGGATTATCTCCTGAGCAACTACAAGAAGGGCGTGCGACCCGTGCGGGACTGGAGGAAGCCAACCGCCGTATCCATTGACGTCATTGTCTATGCCATCCTCAGCGTGGTGAGCACTCAGCCCCAATCTGCTCCCAACTCAGAGGTGGCAGATTGGGATGGGTGGCCATGTGAAACCAAGTTATCCTCTGGGCAGCATGGTGGGCATCCAAGTATCCACAGTACCTGTGGTCTGGCACCACAGCTCAGGACAAACTGTAGCACCCACCATGTGCACAAACCAAGAAACTGGTGTCACTTGTATGGCTACACCTGTACAACCAGTGGGTCTCCTACCACATATGGTTCTTTACACATTGTATTATGGTAACCATCTCCCTTTGTAAGCTGTTCTATTTATCTATGTGCCCTGATGTCTTACACAGGTCCCTGGAACATGGTGGACGTTACTCAATGGTTGTTGAAAAATTAATCATAAATCAATTAATTAATTGATTCCTTCATCAATTACTGTAGTAGGGTAGGGTGCACCGCTTAGCAGAGGAGGTCAGACATTGTGTAAAGATAAATAAGAAGGCGATTGCAGAGATGCAGAGATGCAGAGATGCAGAGATGCAGGGCACCGGGTTGGGGTAGGGTGGATGAGAACTGACTTCATAGTCTCCACTACAGTCCCTGTGGCTGTTTCAGGAAAAGAAATTGGAAATTGGGTAGGAGGGAGGAAGAATGATGAATTTTTTACTCTACGTGGTTTTATACTTCTTGACTTTATACTAGGGCAATATATATATATATATAGACAGAGAAAGAGAGAGAGAATATTGTTATATATGCCTTGTATCATCTAGCATTATGTTATGTATATCATAAATGTAAAATATATATAACATAATAGGTATATAAAATTTATATGATATAATAGAAGATAATAGAGGGTATATACATAAAGTTTAAGAAGAAATCATTATATTTCTTTCTAAACGTGTCCTAGTAAAAGACCAACTTTTCCTGGCTGACCCCTTCTCCCTGCTCCTTTTCTTCATTCTCACTTCCCGAAGGAATAAGGACACAAAGCAACAGCGTCTTTTGGGGTTGGTGTGTGCAGAGTGGACCCTTAGCCCACAGGGCCATCTATGCTGAGCTCCCTTTTCTTTCCTAGGACGAGAAGAATCAGGTGCTGACCACCTACATCTGGTACCGGCAGGTAAGCAGAGCGGCCCCCCAGCCCCACTTCCTATGACAGGACTTGAGTTTCCAGGAGCAATTTCTCCACCTCAGGTACCAAGAACCTTAGACACCTTGATGAGGGAAGATGGAAGAGAGGTACATGGGCATACTCAGCCTGAGATCCAAGAGTCTGGACTCCTCCAGTGTGGACTCTTCGAACTCAGGACTGAGAATGGAAGGAACTTAAAGATCAGTGGAGAAATCCTCCGAACCCCCTCTGGGTTCTGAAGTTCTTCACGGCATCCCACACAAGTGCTTGCCCAGCTTCTCTTGATTGAACACCTCCAGTGACTGGGATCTCAGAAGGCAGTTACTGTACTACTTTCAAAGAACTCTAATTTCTAGAAAGTCTGTCCTTCTATTGAGCCAAACAGAGTGATTCCATCCACTTAGTCCTCACAACCCTGGCCATTTCCCCACTCTTCCAGCTTCTGGTGGGCAATGGTCAGGCTCTGGTGTGTGGAAGTCTCCCAGGACCTAGCAGCATTTCTGGCTTGGAGCTGGTGGGGGGAGTGCAGACAAACAGTGGGGGCTGCTGTCCACCCACGTGTCCTGCTTTGTCAGCCCCCGGGCTGTGGGGAACCCATTAGAGCAGAGAGGAAGCCAAAGTTGCTGAAATGAGGGGTGACAGGGGGATGGGGACAATTCATAGAGGCCAAGCTTGAGAGAGGCTCTGGGGGTACACCTAGCCTATATGGGTCTCTGTTAAATCTCTTCCTGCTCCTCGTGGGCACTCCACACCATCTCCGCTCCTGGGACAGGGAATGGTGTGAAGGAAGAGGGCAGAATACTGATTTATGACACATTGCTCCCTTTCCACCTCAGAGAGACCCCTAAATACAGAACATGTTCTGCCTCAAGGGAAGGGTCCCAGGTCAAACAAGAATAGGCAGCCTGAATCTCCTTTCCTAGGACATCTGGCCTAAGTCCCACCTGTGGGCCTCCAAGGTCACCTGTCTGCCCCAGCAGTGAGAGGATGCAAATCTACTCCGTACTAGAGACTGTTCTAAGGGACCAGAACTGGAGATATAAACTAGGCTCAGGGTTCTGCCCACAGTGAGCTCATAGACTAGCGAAGGCCACAAACATGTGCCCAGACAATTAAATGCAGCAAAACACCCACCTCGATACAGGAAGAACAATATGTCAGCCATGAAAGCACAGAGAATGCACATAAAACCCAACCCGGAGAGTGGGGTTTCCAGACGATCCCTGGAGAAAGAACATATAGGTGACTTGGTTAAGTCTGGAAGGATGAGTAAGACTCATCTCGATAAAGAAGACAAGGGTTGCAATATGGAAGAGGTAGCAAGGTATGCGGAGATACAGAGGTTTCAGCAGTGTTTAATTCCATGTTGCTAGAGTGTAGACTTTACAGAGAGGCATGGCTGAGGCAAAAAAGAGACTAGAAAAACAAGTGGAGACCAGGTTATACAGGCCTTTGTTGATTATGAGGTTTAAACGTTATCCTATTGCCAGTGGGGCACCACTGAAGAATTTTAAGCAAGGGAGTGACATGATCAAATTTACATTTTATGTTTCTGTAATATTGGGATTATTCTTTATATTCTGTTTTATAACCTTTTCAATATGTGTACTTTTTGTTTGTTTGTTTGTTTTCCTAGTCATTTGGAAGATATAGTCTTATTTTAATCTAGTCATGTTTGTTTTTAGTTCACATTATTTTGTCAGTGATAATAAATGAACTATAATCAATTAACTCCCCAAGCATAGCACCCAATATGCCAGGCCTCATAGACCCCTCCCACTGACCTATCATCATTTTCCCATGTTTTCAAATAAAATGTGAAATGTTAAAAAAAAATACACTTTAGATCAGTCATCCTGGCAGTATAGTGGAGAACGCATTGATCAAAACTTAACAGGAACTACCTGTCTCTACCCTGCGAGGTGCATGTTATTATTTCCATTTATCTACGTGCAGACTAAGACCCAAGAAGCTATTTAAGATCCCTCAGTTGGTGGATAGGGGATTCAAAACAGCGGAAATGATTGGATGCCCCACCCCCCACCCCATCCCGCAAAGAGGCTGCATCTGTCTGTGCCATAGTCTCATGTAGGGAGTGAGTGAGTGAGTGAGTACAGAGGTATGGGGACTCTCAGGTTCTGCTGCATGGTTTGGGGGCCACCGACACCCAGGTCCCCTAAGATGATGCCCGCCTGTCCCTGGGCACTGAGCAGTGAAGTCAGCCTGAGCTGTGGATGTCCCCGCAGAGATGGAGGGGGCTGCCTATGACCATTCCCCTCCTCCCCTAGTGGTGGATGGATGAGTTTCTTCAGTGGAACCCTGAAGACTTTGACAACATCACCAAGTTGTCCATCCTCAAGGACAGCATCTGGGTCCCAGACATTCTCATCAATGAGTTGTGAGTACTGGCATCAGGCGCAGGGGCGGAAAGGCAGGGGTGGGGTCGACCAAAGCACAGCTGTTGCATTTGAGATGTCCCACCCAGACTTGCAGAAGTTGACTTGGGCCCAAATTCCCCTTTGTTTTTTTATTTTCTTTTCTTCTTTTACAACTCTTCTTTTTCTATGTGTGATGTTGAAACTACGCACTTCTCGGTCCAAGAGCCCCCTTCCTGGAAAAAAGAAGCCAGTGAGTGAATTCACACTGTTCTAATAGCCAAAGGCAGACTGCATGTTTAAAAGGACAGTCATATTACTGAAAGGAATGAAGCGCTAACGGTGGCCACTGCTCCTGGCCACAGAGATTTGGAGCTGGGAGACGCCACACTTCTCAAGTCACACATGTGCCTGCCTAGCCACAAATCGAACCCTGAATCTGAAGTGGGTCCCAGCAGCCTTTATTCTCAGCAGCCAGACACTGTCTCTTTGGCCTCAGCCTTCTCCCCACCCTGCAGCTTCCTTCAGGCCTCACTGCCTGGGCTTCTGAGTGCAAGTGCAGGGAGGATGGCTGGGGAGACGACGGAAGCAGAAGCGGGTAGAGAGGGGACCAGTTACCCTCTTCCCAGAACCCACGGCATCGCCCAACTCCAGGGGTTGCCATGCACACTGCTTTTCATGAGAAGCAGTTGACCTGGAGCCCCATGTCTTGCATAGCTCAGGCTGGAAGGATTTGAGGAAATTCCAGTTTCTAGATCTGCAGTTTAAGCAGTGAAACAGCTTCGGTCTTGAGTTCTCATATCTTAGGCTGATTCAGCAGAAGGCTGCAGTCTCAGGACCCCCGGCCCAGGCAACTCTATGTCTCAGCGGTCACTCGAGAGAGCCTGGGGGCCAGGGATCTACTGAGAAAGTAGGACGAATTGTTTCCTGCTTTGCCTCAATTCTTCTCAATGATTTCTCTAGTTCCTTTCCCTCCAGAAATGATTAGTGTTATGTCACAGGACTTCTAGGAATGAGAAACAAAGAGAAGCCCAAGTCAGGATGGAACCTAAGGTTCTGCTCTCCAACCCAGCCTGCCCGTTGCCAATAGACTGGTCGTCCTGGGAGCTGAGCTCTGCCCGGCCTGGTGGGTGGCAGCGTAGGCACATCTGGGCATGCTCCTTAGAGCCCGTGGCTTTGGGGTCCATGGATTCCTTGCTTGCCTTTTGTGGCTAGGTTGTCAGGGAAATAAAGGAGAAATGCCCTTTACTGCTTGGAAAGTAGCCTTGACAACGTCAGGTAAGGAAGCCTAAGAGAGATAAGAAGGTTGGTAAAACCAAGACCAAATAAATCGCGCAGGTTGTCCTGCTGCCTAGACTCCCTCTGAATTTCTTTTCCTGCTGGGTTGCTCAGAGATCTTCAGATTCCTAGGGCTTGACCTGCTACCTGAGTCCCAAACTGACCCCTCTTTCCTGGCCAGTGTGGATGTGGGGAAGTCTCCAGATATGCCGTATGTGTATGTCCGGCATCACGGTGAGGTCCAGAACTACAAGCCTCTCCAGGTGGTGACCGCTTGCAGCCTCGACATCTACAACTTCCCCTTCGACGTGCAGAACTGCTCGCTGACCTTTACCAGCTGGCTGCACACCAGTGAGTAGGTGGGCTTCGGAGGCAAGGATGTGGGTTGAGGGGCCCAGGGACACCTGAGTGGGGAGCACGTCCTGGGATGCGTTCTTCCTTATCCAACTTAATTACCACTTATTTTCTTAACGCCACTGAGCCCGTTCCCTTAACCTCCAAATGGGACTAACGTGGTTGCCCTTGCACTTCCCTCAGTCGTCACGTGGCTTGAACGAGACGGTGTAAACTGATGCAAGACACTCAGTAAGGGCCAATTCTTTCCCAATATGCTTTTTAAAATTTTTTTAAATTTATTTTTTTAGGCAAGGCAACCCTCGATTGACCTCACAGATCGCAAGGAACTTGTCAGCTTACAATGCCTTATTTTTTATTTTTTATGCCTACAGCACCTGGTCTTCCTAGGTGGTCTCTCATCCAAGTACTAACCAGGCCCCACCCTGTTTAGCTTCTGAGATCAGACGGAATTGAGCTTGTTCGGGGTGGCATGGCCATAGACTAATTCTTTCCCGATATTGCTAACAGAATCGGTCACTCTGTCTCTCTAATCACCCGCTTCCCTCCACTGAAGCACCCTTCCCCCTAATTTAAGCTCCCTGATCTCATGTCCAGGTTTCTACAGTAGCCTCCTAGCTGGTCCCCGCCTCATTCTTATCCCCCTCCTATTCATGCTCCTCATAACAATCAGGGAGATCTTATTAAAATGCAAATCTGATCAAGTCACTGCATAAAACCCTCAATGGCTTCCCAGCACTTTTGAGACAGAATCGAATCCTTCTCCTGGCGGTAGGGCCCAGTAAAGTCTGGTCCTGCCCACAGCCCAGGTCATCAGCCTCATGTGGTGCATGGTACCCTGAGCTCTGCTCCACCCAGTTGCCTCCTTCTCAGGCCCCACAGCCGGTTCTTCCCCTTAGTCACATGCCGCTTCCTCTTCCAGGCCACCTTGCCCCGCTCCTGCCCGCAACGACACCTGGCTTGGCTGACTCCTCTGCTCACCTTTGAATCACAGCATCAGTGTCAGTTCCCTAGGGAAACTCCCTCCCAACCCCCAGACAGGAATCCCTGGTGCCCAAATTTATAGCCTCCTGTTTTTCTCCCCATTTCGATTGCATTTGGAAGTACTTGTTCAGTGTCTGCTTCTTTACCAGATATAAAATTAGAGGGCAGGGATGTGATTTCTGTCCCACCATTAGATGCCCAGCACTGTGCCTGGCACAGAGGAAGGTGCTGCCAAACTTATAGTGAGTGGATGAATGCCGGGTGCTCACTAAGGCCTAATGAGGTGAGCATCGCCCTATTGCAAAAAGGCATCCTCCACTTCTATTCTGATTTTATTGCATTCACTGCAAATTAGAAAGGTAATACATAACTTCCTTGAACAAAAACCAGAATTACAAAGTCTTTGACCTCTGACCTCTATCTTCAATCCCAAATTCTTCACTAACTCCCCACACAGACTTAACAACTTCCAGCAGTATAAACTTCATATAGTACACTCTTCCAGATCCTTCTCTACCCTTTGCATCTGTACACATACATATACACTATGGAAAGTACATGGAAATTATTCTATAGGTTTTTTATATAAATTTATCATTTATGCTCCTGCTACTTGTATAGGTTTTTTATATAAATTTATCATTTATGCTCTTGCTACTTGATTTCTTTTTTTCTTTTTTTTTTTTTTACTCAGTAACAGATCTTGGACATTTTTCCAAGTTAGCACATATTTAGATCTTCCTCATAAATTCTGACTGCTGTGGAATATCTCATGGTTTGCAGGCATCGTAGTTTATTAAGCATTTTCCTGATTGATGGACATTTAGATCTTTCTCACTATTTTTCTGTGATGGATACTCCCGTCCTTTTGGCGCATATGTATATCTGTTTCTCTAGTACAGACACAGAGAAGTTAAACTGTTATTCCGTAAGTGGGGATTTTGCTTGTTTCCTAATTCACCTTCAAAGACAGACAGCTGCGTGAAGACAAAGGTGAAGAATATTGATCTTTGTTCAGTTTCTAAACAGGTAATTCTAACAGAGAATCCTA